CACACACACACACACACACACACACACACACACACACACACACACCCAGGATTTCCATGAACTGTTTATGTTAATATTTCTTTACCATTTTCTTTTAGTTTCATCATTATAATTATTATTATTTTATTGTTTTTTTTTCCTCCACATAATGTCCATCAATGTCATATCAATATTGTTATTGTTTCTTTGTGTCATGTATGTCTTTTAATATATTATGCTATATGTACCCCGTTGACATGTATCCCGCTCAAGACCATAGGGATAAGGGAGAGGTTGAAAAACAGCGCTGCGCGGTCTTATCGCCGTGCCAGCATAAGCTGAACCTCAGCCTTTTTAGTCTCAAATTTATTTATTTTGTTGTATTTGATTAATTAGTTTTTAAGGAAGAAAATGTTACGAGACAATAAATGATTTATTATTATTATTAGAGTCTCTTCCTTTCTTGAAGTCTGTTAACATTACAATACAGAGATTTCAAAGCGAGGTATTATTATCCAGTCTATAAATACAACGTCCTTGAATTGTAAGTAAATATAATCTTGTCTATTCCTATCTCTGGTCATAACAATTAAATTCCTACAAAAAAGATTCGTTCGAAATAAAAAACAGAATAACTTTTTTTACGACTAATTAGTAATCCCAGATTCGTGTGCTTAAACCACGCCGTGTTACCGCAAACAAACTGAATATAAACAAATGAAGTTAAAATTACTGTAACCTTAAAATGGATTTAGGGTAGGGCCGAAACGAACGTATACAAACACAATTGACGTCAGACGTTGGAGAAGCAGTGTGTCAGGTTTTGCTTTAAGAAAATGGTAATTATTTGCTTATGTTTTTTTCATGAAACCAAGTGACGGGAACAAGTTGTCGGCCTGGTGGTGAGTGACACGTCTATCAATAACAGTTGCAGTGCCAGTCAGAGCTTTGAATCGCAAAGATTTGAGTGACACTACCGCTGCGCCCGTCACACTGAGACATAAATTGACAAGTCCCAGGTGCCTGTAATTTCACCAGCTCCCTTACAGTTCAAAACCGGAACAGATTTATTATTACTTGGCGGCAGAAAGAGGTGAGGTGGCAGTACTTCCCTGAATGAGCTCTTTCACAAGGAGCTCTTATGCTACAAAATCTAATGTAAACTTTATTTAAGAGAATAGGTAACCTTCTGGGAAAACCGTACGTCGGTGCTTCGAATCCCAGTAGCGGCAAGTATATGTATAAGTATATAAGATCATTAGTAGCGACTATGTAAACTACATTATTATTAAGTAATTCTCGTAAATCTAAGTATAATAAATCTGTATTTTTTAAATAAATAAATAATCACGATTGATAAAGACCGCCTTTTCCTTCGGCAGACGTAGAACATATCCGCCGAGCCGAGTACGTCATCGATTCCATTAAAAAAATCGTGAATTACTATTGATAAACAATCTCTCATTTCAATATTTTCTAATACCTAAGACGTATCAATAACAGCGAAACTTTGTATCTGGCTTCGTGAGCGTAATGGATGGGCCAACAATTCTGTTTGGTTTGCTACTAGCTACGACAATGTTATCCTGAAGTCTCAAGCAGTAACAAAAGATTTATTTGGAAGAATAATCAAAAATTGGCAATCCAATCGAAATTACATATTGTGGCCAAAGGCAGGACGCTACAGAGCCAAGAAAAAAACTTTTAACAAAAAAATAAGAACGAAAAAGAATATTGTCTATGGTCGATTTAAAAATAATGTACTAGTGCGCTTTCTAAGAATAAACAAGAAATGAAACTATTTTTCCGGATTTAAATCGCGTATATTTGTTTTTTCAAACAAACCGACGTTTCGGGCCCTTTACAGGTCCCATGGTCACGGTTGACTGAGGTGGTACAGTCTTCAACCAGTTATGTCTAATATTGATGCAAACCACCCTATTTTTTCACTATAGTTACAATAGTTATTAATTAAATACCTTATTTTTAATTTTACAAAGAAAACATTCCAATTTACGCTATATTAAGTTTTACAAATTATTTTATTGAATGAATTATGAACTTCAATTTATTATTAATTATTAATAGAAATTAGAATAAACTAAAACATATTAATTAGTACTGCAGTCTTATGTCTGTTTGGGATTTTTCATTAGAGGAAATACTGGATCCCAAACTGGTGGTACGGAGAAACCATCTTCCCTGTTGAAATTAGGATGTTTTTTAATTTCAATGGCCTCTCGCAGCATCCTGGGTAGATAACGGACTTCTTTTGCAAGGACCTGGGGTTTGTCAAACTTCATTGAATGTGTAGGTTTATCCATGACATGCTCGCAGACTGCAGACTTGTTTACGCGACGGTGTTTGACATCAGCTATATGTTCTTTGACGCGGGTACAAATACTTCGCTTTGTTTGTCCAATATAAGAGAGACCGCACTCACAGTCAAGCTTGTAAACTCCTGCATCCTGTAAGGGGATGTTACATTTCACGGGTCTCAGGAACTGATAAATCTTCCTCAGGGGTTTGAAATAGGTCTTGATAGATGCACGCCTGAGGACTCTTCCGATCTTGTCTGTAACACCTCTCACGTAAGGTAAGATGACAGGTTTTCGCTCGACTGTTGGTGGTTTCACACGTGGCCTGTGGCATTGGCGTGGAATCTTCAACTTATTATTATAACTTATTATATTATTACAGTATGGCCTAAGGTGTTATTAATAAGTTATTCTAGTTATTCTAAGTAGTGTTCTGGCTTTTGTATATTCTGTATCAAAGAATAGCGACAGCAAGGTTTTAAATCATAATATGTACAGTACTACCATGTAGTACTTGTATAATCAAACAAGTATGGTAACTCCATACAGCAAACGCGGCTTGTATGTGGCAGTACCTCACTGGACGAACTATTTCACAAGGAGCTCTATCTAAATCGCTGTTCAAGAAACCAATACATAGTCTAATCCAGTGCTTCTTTTCCAGGCATAGTAAACCGAGGCGACTCCTTCCGCCGGCGCCGGTCGCGGTCGGGTTCCCTCGCCCCATCATCACCAGCACAGGCCCCCGAGCCTCTAGAGAGAAAGCCGGTGGCTTGCCACCGAGTCGCCATGGTCGGAGCACCAGGTGTCGGCAAAACTGCTCTCGTCAGCCAGTTTAAAACCAGTGAATGCATCATGTTTAGGCAAAGAGGTGAGTGAGACGAGAGAGAAAGAAAGCTTTACAAGGCTTACTTTTCTAAACTATATTACTGAATCTTTACAAGCTTGGTCATTACATTATGACGGAGTTAGTTATCACTTCAAACGTAATGTAACAATATAGGTAAGCTTTGTTTTAACTAGTATCGAGTAAGGTCAATGATCGAGCACGTTTCTTTGTTTACAATGTCACGTTAGTTTGACAGCTCAAACTGGTGAGGCCGCAGAGGGCGTGACGCAAGTCTCGTTGGAATAAGTTTAATTTAATATTAGAGAAAGGAAAAAATATTGTCTACAAGTTTAATGAGTCGTCTCATCTGACATGATAGTCGTTGGCAAGGTTGCCGTTTGAAATTAAGGAGGAAGTTTATGGCCAATGCTTTTATAAACAAACGAGCATTGACAAGAGGGGTTTTTAGTGTGCGAGTCACTTGGAAAGCGGACAAGCGCGGCCGCTCTCTGCAGCTTGCCACGTGATTAGAATTCGTTTTAACCTTATCCATCTTTTGTACTTTCGAACTTTAGTAATTACTGTGAAATGTCTATAAAACACCCTCCGTCGAACCATTTATTTAACTTTTGACATATGTATGCCTCTAAAGTTCCGTAATTATTGCCATGCAACCGTAGACAAAACAATACTTGCAAAACTTCCTGGACTCTAATATTTTTTAATTTTAGTGAAGCGACGTGCTCTTTAGCTCCGATATTTATCGAGCCAACAGATTATGTATCGAAGATAATAAAAACTTGAATACAATAAAGAAACTTGAATACAAGTTGATAAATTTTGGTAACTGTGGAGCGGCTGTCTAATAAACTTTGTAGTTCATTGTTGAAATGAAACAAATTGTAATAAACTTTTATTGTTTATTATGATGAATCATCGGATTTTTCTCCATATGAACGGGAATCATCACTTGCAATCCTCATTAACATTAATTATTAATTCTTGAGTACACAAACTGTCAAACGCAACATCACGATACCAAGCAGACAATATCTTTTTGGTATCCGCTGACATTCACGATTAATAAATAATTTGTAAAAAAAATATTTAAAACTTCATAAATAAAATCGATAGTTATAACAAATCGAATCGGAAACGCATTAGGACATCACTAATTGATTAGAATTAGATCTGCCAAAAGTGAAATAAATGATTGGACGGAGTAAATGAAACTATTGTTCCGGATTTAAATCGCGTATATTTGTTTTTTCATAGAAACCGACGTTTCGGGCCCTTTACAGTACAAAGAAAACGTTCAAAAAAAAAAAATTAAAATTAAAATGTAAAATTAAAAATAAGGTATTTAATTAATAACTATTGTAACTTTAGTGAAAGAATACGGTGGTTTGCATCAATATTAGATATAACTGGTTGAAGACTGTACCACCTCAGTCAACCGTGACCATGGGACCTGTAAAGGGCCCGAAACGTCGGTTTGTTTGAAAAAACAAATATACGCGATTTAAATCCGGAAAAATAATTTCATTTCCTATGTGTAACAATCGCGAAAACCTAAGAACTCGATTGGACGGAGTATAAGGACTTCTTTACATCAAAATGTCAGTTCCTGTATGTGCAGTGATTCAGAGCCAGACAATATTATTTCGCACCCTTGGTTTTTGCTTTTTAATTTTTTAATCGTGAAAATGTTTAGGAATCGTGTTTTCACACCGTATAGTAATCAGTGTATATGTTCAATTTTACAATATGTTTTTTCAAATTGATTAATTCTACACTTTCACTGATATGCCGAATCAACTAAAGCCATTTGAGGTTGTATATACGAGGACGAATACCGCACATATTGCCTGCCTCCGTGGCCAAACTGTTACCATGCCGGACTGCCACGCGGAGGTCCTCGGTTCGATTCCCAGGCCGAGAGGAATATGTGCATGGCCTACATTTATTTATCTCGTGAGTTTGGGTGTAATTTGTGGTTGTTTATTTATGGTTCATGGCACCCGCGACACAGGTTTTCCCTAGAGCGGGGCTATGACTGTGTTGCGTTTTTGTTATTATTGCGCACAGCACTTGTCACTGTTATGCGAAATAAATCAAAGCCATTTGAGGTAGTATAGACGAGTTTCACGGTGGTTTTCATTTAAAATTTAAAACCTCATAGTAGTTTAGTAAAAACATCATCATATTCAATAAAATAAATATTACGTTTAAACTTGATTTTCGTCCAAAAAACAACGGTGTCTTGCGAACAACTTCAGTCCTCTTGCTTTTCTCTTTAGTAATTAAGCGCACATTTAGTGTGCACCTAATTATTCCACGTACAAGTGCAAACAAACAAAATTTTCTCTTTGATGCAACCTCAAAGCACTCGGCTTTCCTTTGTGTTGCCGGAGTTTATGAACAAAGCAAAATGTGTATGTATGTGTGTGTATGATTACTTTTTTAAATAATGAGCTTCACTCATCAGATGCATCGCGGCTCGGATTTATAGCACCTCATTTTAACGGAGCACTAGTTAAATCCTATAAACATTGACTTACAAATAAATGGACGATGGGTCTAATACAAAAACCACGAAAAAAATGTCCCAAGTCAACCTATTTAAACGTAGTGACATGTAAAGGAATAAGAAAAAGCGAAAACGTTGAATTTAAATTGTAATGTCATCGCAGTACTGTCTAATTTTGCTTGCTTTGCTGTCAGTCGAACAAACGAAGACTAAAGCGTGAATGACGCTCTGTATACGATTTTAACGCCCTGTAAGTTCGGACACTTTTTAGAGCGGACCCGACGTCTATATAATTGTAAGTCAATGCCCATAAATATGTAATTCAGTGTTTTTTTTTAAAGTCTGGTCGGTTATTTTTTTTTTTTTATTTTGAACCCAATTTGGACATAAATAATTAGTCGACAAACTCGTATTAACAATTATAATAAAATAATAGATTGTTTTACAAATATGTGTTAATGAATATCACGGAACAGTACAATATAATTACGAATTTTGCCAATAGCGGGTTTTTGTATTTTTTTCTTATAAACAGATGGCCAGCTATTCTTCCATAGATAGATAATACAACTCGATGTAAAATGTTGCACAAGGCAAAAACTTTAGAGGATGGAAAAAATAAATAAAAAACGCTTGCTACCATGATGTATTACAAAACAAATAAATACTAAAAATACTGCAGAATTGGAATTCATAAAATTAACATAGTAAAATATATTTAAACTGCAACTATTTGTTTTTTCTTCTATACTTCAAGCTTATGCGACATACATATATGCAGATTTTTCAAGCTTAAAAACTTTTTGCTTAATCTTGACGTTGAGAAGTACAATTAAATAAAAAAATAAATCCATTACATCCATAAGGCGGTAATTAAACGATCGACCATCGACTTTAAATGCATGTTATGATACTATTTACGAGCATCTGCGTGTAGTACTTTTTGTAAATGGAAATTGAATGAAGCGCATGAAATAAGGTTTTGATTAGGTTTCTCTTTACGCTAGAGTAGCCTTTTCTTTGAAGGTTATTTTCCTTCCATATGATTTAATTTTATTTCAGAAATTCAGTGTCTTTTTTTACGAATAGTTTAATTTGTAATTGCATTACTTTAAATAAAATACGAACTGTTGAAGTTTTTCTGCTGGTATCAGCAGGCAATATGGCATGACACGCCCCATGAGATTGTGGTTAGGAAACTCGTGACGTGGTAACAAAAACGCTATCGCTTCTGACAACCTCGATGGCCCAACGTTTTACACTGTAAATGATGAACGAGAAACACCAATTTAGGATTTCCTACATTACGTCTGTTTGGATATTCTGGGTAGTTCCGCGAAGTGATCCGTTGGTCTATCATGTTATCTCTATTCATATTACTGACAGTTCCCTTGTTCGAGATCGTAATTGGTGAGATTGTTTGGCAAATTATTATAATAGAAGAATAAGAATGAAGCTGCAGTTAATGCTAGCAACACCTGCAACACAAAGCATGCTGAGCCATAAATGCTTTAAAGGCGTTCCACATATATAAACACATGTATAGATATATGTACAAGGAGCGACGTATAGTTGTTAAAACCACAAAATGTTAATTAATTACTGTTTCGAATTCCGGATTTTCGGAAATGATTTTACTGCATCGTAGGACAAAACTACTGACCTAAGAAGTCGAAGTTGGATTTTAAAGTAATTCTAATAGTGCATTGTAAAAAAAATGCAGTACATAACTGAGCTTTTACCGAAGCAGACAATAAGAAAAGTAACGAGAATTGGCACATTGATGGAACGGCGAGTTTTGCTAGTAGAACTTAAGAAAAAAAAAAAAATTATTTACGAGGGTAATTTTAGGACATGCTGCTGAACGCAACAAGACGAAAAAGCGCCGTTTTAGATAGCTCGTGTACAGCTATTTACTTTTTTTTACCTTCATAAATAGAATAAAGAGAGCAGTTTCTTTCATCCGGGATTGGAAAAAAATTTAAACTACTTTGACACAGATGTCAGAGCAGATTTGATTGTATGCTTAAATCGCGAAGTACTATTTGAAAAAATGTCGACGAGACAGTCACCCCGCTTATGCAGGTGGTTATATTGTCTTGATTCATCAATTGATCAATCACCTTTAACTGAAAATGGAACGTACCTACTCAAACGAGGCAGCTTAACGTTGAAATTTGCCAGTCCCTATAGAAAAGGGCAGTCAACGGCTCCATTGATAATCTTGTGTAAGAACATGTGGTCTAGTAGCAATATTCTATTCCTTGTACTCATTAAATTAAAATAAGAAAGGCATTCCTCATAAGAATACCTCCAATGAAAGCTACGTCAACTGAATTTTTGGTCCAGTTCCAGCTTTTGTTTCCTTTTTTTTTCACAAAATTCGTTTTATTGTTTATTTTTCGAATTTTGTTTTTGTTTCTTTATTTTTTTTCACACAATTCGGGGAGCATAACATTAGTGAATAAATATGTTTACAAAAATAACAGAAAGTGACCAAAAAGTAAAGTTG